CCACTACATGTTTGGTGAAGTCTGCACATGGCCAACTTGTGCAATTCATTACCACTTGACCCCTTCTCTTTTGAGGACCTTAAAAACATAGGAATTAAATCAACCATAGCTAAAAATAGGCATTTTTACCTTACAAAGAACTAAAATGAATTGAAATAACTAGCTCAATCATGAGTTAACTAATTAAAGAAACAAAGAAAGCTACTTGTAACTCAACCTAAACTCAAAGACTTAGCCATTTTATCACTCAAAATATGGCAAGATAACACTATATAATAGAGTTATCATCTATCAATCTCTCAATAGATCTTGCCCAGAGTTTGGATTTTCACTCCTTTCAGTCCCTAAACTCACTCCTTTAGGCACCTAATTCATTTCCATCCAATATCCACATTTCAAACATTCATATAACTTAAAATTCCTTAAACATATACTCAAACATAAAATCAAATCTTTATCTAAACTTAAAAATTCAAGATTTATCAAACATTTCTCTAAGATTTTGCCTAAGTGCCATGGGGCATGCTTTCATATAATTTATGTATTCAACATAGCTTCCAAATCCTCAAATACACAATAAATTCTAAGATCATTCTCCATACATATAGGCATATTCTCAAACCTTTAAGCATATACATCAAAATTCAAATTAACTCTTCCAATAATGTAGTTAATATATTTCCATAACCCATAAGTAAAGTCAAGGGTGTTATACTTTGATAATTCGAGTATGCGATATGAGATGCTAGAATAATTCACATATGATCTAGTTTGATTGGAGATGTTGTGACCACATTTCTACTTGCATTATGATGCATTATATCACATGTCTATGAACTTATCTATGTTATTAATAACTCTTTCGTTTATGGCTTGATCCCCCCCACTCCCATTCACTGAGTTCTGAAAGGACTCACCTCAATCAAATTATGGCCTTGTGCAGATAAATAACTCGATGGGGATTTCCGTGTGGGAAGTGCGTAAGTAACGCTCATTCTGTAGATTGACTTTTGGCATCTAGTAGGCATCTTAGCTGATATGTTCACTCTGTTGAGTCGATTCAAGCATGTTCTAGTTTTGAGTTTTGGCTTTCAAACTAAACTATATTTCGGGTTTTTTATATTCATTATGTTTTGAAATATGTAGATACCATGTTGTCACTTGTTTCTATCATTTGATGTACAGGATGGACCAGATATGCTAGCCAAGTCATGGCTATGTGAATGCTATGATAAAATATGGTTGTATTAAACATGCCATGGGGCAAGTGTTAAAGTACTTGAAGTAGTGTTTATAAAATTAATATGCCCTTGGATTTGTAAACCATTCTAGAATATATGTTCTATATATTAGTGTTATGATGTTCTGAGGTTTGCTTGGGTATCGCGAGTGTTGTCTACTGAACTCGTGCGCCCGTCATGACCTCTGGATTTGAGTCTTGACATCACTTTATGCTATGATATACTTTATCGAGAAACTACACAAGTTAGATCTCAACTTACAGATTGACTTTGCTTATGGCTATTTACTTGGGGGACACAATGTAAATGTCCTTAACTCATCAATCATCATGGTGTGAGAATTTGTCATGGCTTTGTAGAATTGAATTTTTTCAACTTCAACCTTTAGGTGGCTTTCAATATTGAAATAGGAAGAAATTTAGCGTACTTATGACTCAATTTTAATATTAGCCCAATGTTTCAAAAGATTTAATGACATTACCTAAAACCCCCTAAAGCTAATAATTTAATAAGTAACGTTATGGGAAATAGTTTGATAAGTAATTGTTTGTTTGATTGTGTATGTTGAAGAAAATGTATTTGATAAAATTGATATGGACACAACCCAAAAAAATTCGTTACTACGCCATTGGAGATATCATATCTTGTTTGTAGCTTTTATCCAGTTTTGTTTTATCCGAAACTTTTGAGAGTTTTCCTGATTGATAATCTAACAAGAAACACAACATATTATCATGTCCTGATAAGCCTGTCAAGTCAGTTTCGAGGACATAGTTAGCTAGGCTGCATTAAATGGTCTAAGTTGCACTAGCATTGTACTTAAAACTGTATAGGTTTCCACTAACTCTTGATGGAAATAAAATGTGCCTGTCCTGTGTCCTATCTCAGTCCCTGGATAGGATAAAGCAGGTGGGCTGTGACAACTTGGCATGTCAATCTTGGGGTTGTGACTTGGTCGGGCTGTTCCCAAGTTTATTTGTCAATCCAACATAGTCATAAAACCGAATCCTTGTTGTGTTCTTGTAAGGCAATCATTAATTTACTCCCTTGGAATATCAGTTTCTGATCTTTCAACTCAGCTGAGCTGGACGCTCTTGTCATGGTCATAGTCGCAAACTCAAGGTTTTAAGTCGTTAATTTCACTAGAATCTTAAGAAAATCAGGACACCTCCTCCATGATATATTATCAACTTTTAAGAGTGAATTGACAAGTAATCAAAAGAGTTGCCTGCTACGAAATTCAGAAGGCTCAGGCCGTACCTTAGGCGCATAAACGGGAGTTTCTAGTGAAATTTGGAGATTTAGCTATATATAAGAATTGTTCAGGGAATCCTATTATATTAGGAGTCTTTTTCATTTTTTTTCCTTTAGGCACCAAGACAAATTGCTCAGGGCACGTATAAGGAATCCTCCTAGACTTTTAGGAAACGATGAATTTAATGCCAATGCCATCAGACATGGTCATCCAGTCCAACTGTACTTGCAGCCTACTGCAATTGTTTGTATTCTCTCCACTCTCTAGAGTCTGGAATTGCAAGATTGTATTATTTAGAAAACAGGTCAGGCTGTAAAGGAGTTGAATAATTTAGTAGTATCTAGAAACCCTAGAGTCCCCCTATAAATTGCATGTTCTGAGCAATGTTCATTACATCGTTTAGGTCCACACCGCCCGGAGACTCTAGTCGACACAGCCATGTGAAGAAACAAATTCTGACTAGCAGATTATGGTTTTGTACAAGATGAAGATGATGGGTCCCCTGTAGAGGGATTTTGGCAAGGAAAAGAGGTAGCCATCCCATGTGTTATTTCACTATTCCTAGCAGTGATGTCCAAATTATAAGGGACTAGAGACATGCATTACTATGGTTATCAGTGATGTCGAAATTATAGGGGTTCAGAAACATGTAGCTAAACCAGGGAAAATGACAGATGTTTTCAGCTGTTCAGTGCAGTCAGGGGTTGGGGAAAAACTGATCAGTTTGCAGCAGTGAAGGGCATGGTAATGCTGGGAACGGATGGGTCATTGAATTCAAAGCCCTGTTGTAATTTCTGAATCAGTGCCATTGAAAACCAATGCGGGCTGTCTCTACGTTCTATTTGGGAATGTGAAGAGAAAGGGGCCATGGCCTGTACTTGGTTTTGAGTTTCCAACTTAATGGAGTCAATGGACATTAACTTTTTGTGGGCTTTTAAGTCTTGGACCTATGCTGTGTCGAATCTCGAGTTGCTCCTTTCGATAGGTGAGCTATTTCTTGAATTCTAAAAGTCTCTTTGCTGAGAGGTCCCCTTCTCTTAGCCGCTAAGCACGAAGTCATCGGCTGCAATAACTCCTGTCCATTTTGTTTTAAACCGTCCAGTCATCGGATTCGGATGCTTTCCAAGAGACTGTATACAGTACAATGCTAGCAAGCAAGAACATTTCCAAAAGCTCGAGTCAGTGTCAAGGCAATTGCATTTCTTTTACTACACCAAGCCACCAATCAAGAAACTGCATGCAATCAAATCGAACGCAATCTAAAAGCAGACAATGCTACAACTTAAATCTAAGATAGAGCTATTGCGATTTTCGTCTCCACCTAGCAACTTGAGTTAGCAATGCATAAGATATTATTAGAATTTCAAATTTTCCAAGTTTTATTAGTGATTAATGGCGTTGGAAGTATGATTGTAAGGATAGAGTCAGAGGCTCAGAGCTAGGGAATTTGGACTTTTTTGTTTCAGTGAAAGCAATGTCCATGTGTTTGACTTCCCAAATTGTGGTGCTGTTCTGTGGATGGAAGGACTTTGTGAGTTCTATGTCGGTGATAAGCTTTCGCAGAAGAAATATTGGTCATTGAAAAAACAAAAGTAAAATTAACCCTAGAACTGGTCTAAACTCAGCACACTTGTGTAGTTGGTTATCACGTCAGTCTAACATACTGATCTAGGTTTCCGGTTTGATTCCGGTGGATGCCACCAGTTTAAGTTTATTTTTGTACTCATAAAACTCCCAGCCATGAGTCCATGGCGTGTTGTACAACAGTGCCCTGATTTATTTGAACAGCTCATTACCACATAAACTCATGAATTAGCTCTCACTTGTCAAGTTATGGAATATACTTTACAGAAAAGATCTAACTGTAATTACCCATGAAAGCTTCAAGGCTCCATCCATGTGCAAGGCATCAGACTTTTAAGCCTAGATTATTCAGTAAGTTGGTCAATGAAAAAGATAATAATATTTAAGGGAATAGTGATGTGTAGCCCATCTTAGAGTTTGGCTATCCTCAAAAGAAAACAAGGAGGTGGTGGGTATGGTGGGAGCTGGGTTCCATCGTCCCTCATGATCATGGGTCCTACCCATCTATGATGATAGACGTTTATGGGGCAACTTGCAAATCTGAAACATTGAATCAGTGGCCCTTACCTTGACACAATAGTTTGATGGTTATTTCTAAGCATGTGTCATGTACCTTCCAAGAGACAGTGGTAGGGAAAAAACTGTTCCTAATCTAAGATTTGATCAATTAAATTGTGAAACTTAAGTCAAGGGAGAGATTCAGCTGAATAAGGAAGAATCAAGGGAGTAACAGGTTTAGGGGAAACTTTTTATCGGTTGAGATTTGAGGCTTTTGCTATGTCAAAGTCATGAATTTGTTGATTGAACTTTTTGCATAACAGTACTCTGAATACAATCTTGAAACCAATCAACAAAAAGGGGCAAAGCAATGATGGAATATAGAGAAAGGAAGCTGTATCCTTTTAACTTGATTACTGAATTAATTATGGTACAAACACTGTATGAAAAGAAGAAGAAGAAGAAGAAAAGCCTCATCATCCTCAGTATACAAAATGCCCAAAGAAATCAAAATTGGGCCTTCGGTGAGGGCTCTGTCAGACTGTACTATCAGTTTTGTTTCTTTTCCTTTTTTTGTTTTTGGTGTATTGTACAGTAATTTTTTATTTTTTACACCATAGGAAAACAAAAGAACAAAGGTAATTTTCCTAGCTGCTGCTGAAACACTTTTTTTTTTTTGGTTTTTCTGACGATTACAAATTTAAAACTGTGAAATGCATCGTCTATGGCAAGCCATGGTTCTCTTTTTCTGGCGCTTAGTTTCATCTTTCCAGACCTTGCCAATGTCTTGTGCAATCCTCATGGCATCGGAGGAAGCACCAGAGAGCCCTCTCCTCGTGAACCCAACTGCATAGAGTCCAGCACTGCCTTTCCAGCCATGTGGGAAGGGAGCCTTTGGGAATCCATTCTTGGAGAAGAATTCACCTTCCTGTTCATCATGGAACCAAAACAAGATTAGTTCATTTGTCCCAAAAACTCTATGTTGGTCAAAGATGGAAAATTTTACAATAAAAGTCTGTAGAAGGTTCTTAAAACAGTTCCTTCTTCTTCCCCACTTTAAAAAAAAAATGATAAAAAAAATTTGTTGTTTAAGGAAATAGGACAAATCATAGTCTGACATTTTTCAGTAAAAAAGATATTCCTTCACATTACAAAAAGTTCAAAAGCTCAACAGAGGAGTTTAGAGCATTTTCTCACCTGAAGCCAGGAGGGAACATTGCTGCGGTATCCGGTGGCCAGAACAACTGAGTCGATATCAAGTTTCTCACCATTAACAAGCTCAACTTGTCCACGTGAGAAACGCTTGATTCCAGGAACAACATTAATGTCACCTGATCTAATTTTCTCCAATGCACCAATGTCCAATACAGGGGTTTTTCCTTTGGTGTTCTTGAGTTCCAATGGACCCATTGATGGCCTTTTCAACCCGTACATTTCAATGTTTCCGAGCACCAACCAGGCCAAGATCAACATAAGCTTGTCAACAAGCCGAAGGGGCAGCCATTTCAACAACACCATAGCTAATTCAAATGTCGATTTCCCAAAAATTTCCCTTGGCAAGACATGAACCTTTTAAAAGGAAAAGAGATTAGAATTTGATCTCATGGTTATATTTCTCTTTAAAGAATATATCTGATAATTAAGGCATGTGTTGGTGACTTACCGAGCTGCGAACCACGATTGAGGGTGAAGCATTGTGGTTACAAAGATCAAGAGAAACTTCCATGCCAGAGTTGCCACAGCCGACAACTAGTACTTTCTGTCCCTTGAATTTTTCGCCAGACTTGTAGTCACAAGCATGGATAACTTCACCACCAAACTCAGCCAATCCTTGGATATCAGGCACCACACACTCGGCATTTTCGCCTGTGGCCACCACAAGCCAGCGGCAAATGTACTCAAACTCAGTCTTGCTTGAGCCACTTGAAACGACGGTCTTGACCCTCCAGAAGCCACTGGTCTCGTCATATCTAGCCGACTGCACACACTCATTGAATTTTGGGTTGATATCAAAATGCTTAGCATATGATTCAAGGTACTCAATGAACTGTCTCTTTGTTGGGTACTCAGGGAATTCCTCAGGGAAAGGTAGTTTGGGGAGTTGGCAGAAGTGTTTGGGAAGGTGAAGCTTTAGCCTGTCATAGGTGCGTTTTTGCCACAAAGATGCAATGCATTCAGCTCTTTCAAGAACTACAAAGGGCACCCCTTGTTCTCTTAGGCAAGCAGCTGTGGCAAGCCCTGAGGGTCCGGCGCCAACTATGACCGGACCATTGACCAAAGTCCATTTACGTTGAAAGAAATGTTGATCTTGGTCAACAAGGCGGAACAGGTTCTCCATTGTTCTGAGGGAGAAATCGGGAATTCTCTGTTTGGTGTGGTATAGGTTTGAGTGAAGGATGTGGAAGAGTGAGTTCGTTTTTTGAAAATATGCGTCTATATAGGAGAACACAAACGGGACAGCAAAAGAAGAAGATGATGTTTGTTGAGAAGAGAGTTGGATGCTCTTGGTTTGGAGGGAGGAGAGGGTAGGGGGATGCTTAAATAGGGGAGGTGGTGTGAAAGGACCTTGTGATAGCATTCAAGAGTTAATGCGTTTGAAAGGGCCAGTTTCAAATCATAAGCCAATGGCTACCTTTTCTTAATTTATCTAGTATTTTAATAGATCTCATGCATTATACTTGTTTAAAATATTAGCATTTTTTGGGGGATTTATTTTATTCTTTCCTTTAGAACGTTTTTGTGCTATAAAGAAGATGTGATCAATGCTTTTCCTTTTAATAATAATAACTACTATTGTTGTTTTTGTTTTTATTTAGAATTATTATACCAAGTAGCTGGGTATACAATGAGCAAATATTGCGGGGGAAGAATACTTGGGTTACCAATGACAACATAGAGTTTCAATGATTTAGATGTCCAACATCAAAATGTGCATGTAGATTTCCCACCAAGCTTGAGATTCCATATTATTGTATGTCAATAATTGTATGTTCCATCAACTTAATAGTAAGTGAATTTTTGATAGGATTATTATATAACATATATATAAAAAAGAAAAGTATTTTAAATGCACTCTCACAATCAATTAGCACAACTGTTGATATACATCATGGCAAATATGTGCAAAAGATGATTGGGATGATTGCAATGCTGTTGTTAGTTTTTTTAAAAAAAAGAAAAAGAAAAAGAAATACATTTAAGAATGAAGAGAAGATGATTGGGACGATGCCATTTGATGCTTGGCAAATTTGTTCGTTTTAAAAAGACACACTTAATCATTAAGAAGGAATTCAACCGCTACAAAGAAAGAAAAAAAGAGTCCTTCAATGCAGAAATTAAGGGCGGTTTATGCTGTCTTATTTGAGGTAAAAGGCAGTAATCAAAGATGAAGGAGAGGGATTAGAGGGAGAATTAGGGAGCAATGAAAGTGACACAACATCCTCATCTGATTCTATGGACCCATTAAGGAGTTTCCGAAAGCCGAAAATGTTAATAATAATAAATAATCAATAATAAATTATAAATAAAAACGGTTTGGGGAATATACAAAAAAATCCGTGGAAGTGGAAGGCCCAGTGGCAGAGAGAGGATGCTGACTAGGATGCAGGCGATGTTCCCACGAGGAGTGTGTGAGCCAAGTTGCGAATAGGGTAGGGACCTCAGTGTCACAATCTTTGGCCCTCAGTCCCACACAGCCCCTCCATAGCCTTGGGATTGCGACTTGTAAGGCTGTTTCGACCCCGAAGGCCCATTCTGCCAACCGTCCTCCACACCACCCTTGCGCCATTTGTCGACCCCGTTTCCTGTCCCTATGCAATTTGTTTACTAACTTTCACACCACTTTTCCAATCCCCATTAAAAAAAATCTGTGCTATTAGCCAAATTATACACACTCACGCCACGTTTGTTTAACTGTTTGTGTTTCTAGGCTTACGTTTTGCATGGTCGATAAAGGTTGCAAAAAATAAGATGGGGAGAGGAACTGTGAGATGCCAAAACATATCATTATATATATATATATTTGTTATAGTCTTTTTTGCTTGGTATTAGATAGCTAGGGTTTATCTGACTTCAAACTTACACCTTTGAAATAGTTTAGCTTTCATGAACTTTTATGATTTTTATTCTGTTAAAGAATTACTTAAGAGAAAATGGTTTGAAATCAATAATATATAATGCATTGTATATCTCGCAGACCTCGAGCAATGAGGAAAAAACTTCGAAATTGGATAAAAATATGTAGGTTCGAGGGAATATTCTTTATGCATGGAAAAGATTGTGAAGTACTAGGATAATATAGGTTCAAAGCATGAATACACACCTTTGTTATGATCAAACCAAAACCTAATTATGTTTTCATTCAAGGTACGTGGAAGGCCGATGAGCATTGTTGCTTTCGGTGAATGCTTGTGAGTTTGACACGCACGCCTGCCTTGTAAAGTGAGGGTGTCAGAGCTCTTTTTTTTTTGTGAACTTTTTATGCTGATTATGATGGTGATTAGTTGAATGCTTAGGTTTTAGGGGTTGTTTGTACTTTCCTGGAATAGGCCTGTCAAAGTACAAGTTTATGATTATATGAAAAATTTGGAGTTGGAGGTAGCTAAGCTAGGGCAGCCCCACCCACTTAATGGTGTTGATAAGTAAAAACCAAATTCATGAGAGGGAAGGGGCACCGAAGGACAGAGGGCTGCATGTGCATTGAGGACCTTGAATTCCATGTAGTCTCTCCTTTTCATGAAAAGATTGAGAGCTATGAGCTTGGCGTTTCTAAGGTTAACCATTTTAAAATCATTTCGGAGAATGAGCAGAATCACCGTTCCCACCTTTTGCTATCCATTTCCCCCTTCAAGACAACTTAATATAAACAACTAAAAACAAGCCTCCAAATGCAAGCATACAAAGAGATATGAAAGAGAGATAAAACTTACTCATATCCCATGCATGATATCTGATAGGGATATGTTTATTTTTGTTATCCCCAGAGCCTCCCACACACCAAGTGACCAGCCTTGCATTGCTCCACCACCAGGCAGCGTTTTCTACTTTTAGGATGGGATTGATGGGTTTCTTTTCTCTTTTAAAGAAAAAGGAAAAGAAAAGAAAGAATTTCGATTCCTTTATAGCAAGATCACAGAGGTTTCATTCGATAACTTTTGTGAGCAGTCGGCGGTGTATACACTTTGGTAGGGGAAGTTAGCGCGTTTCGGGTAGAACATCTTTATATATAAATAGTGCCAACCCTATCTAGATTATATATTAACCCCCAAAATGCTTTTGCTAAAATCTATAATTATAGTTTCAGTCACGCGTAATGAAAAGTTCAAGAAAGGCAAAATCATTGGCATATATATATATATATATAGTCACTGAACTGGCTTCTCACCAAGTTTACACTACTCTTGCACCTAGCTGGAACCTCAATTGCCAACTTAACTAAGCAGAAAGTTAAAGAGTTTCTATGAAAAACAACAATAGTTAGTACTATAATATATATGTATGTGTGCACTCTTTACTTTTGGCTGTACTATTTATTTAGCAACAAACATATTTAGTTTAGAATCAGCGTTAAGGGTCGAGCACATTATATATATGTAGTCAAAGGTGATCATGAATCCAATTACATGCAATAGCTACCTAGCTATCATCTTTATCTACTTGCTTCATCATACAATATTCTTCACTACTATTTTTCTTCATCATTCCTTTATAATTTTGTAGCATTACATATATAATCTCCTTTTATTCATCACAGGGAATTGTATATGCGAGAGAGATTGAGCTCAATTACAAGTTATTGATTAGCATCCAATTAGGAGGTGATAGTTAGTTGTCAATGGAGTACTCATTATAATATATATTTTGCTGTAAAACATAACAAGATGAGGACAGTACTCAAATTGAAGATAAGGTCAATGCAAGTATAGAGCTACCAGTTGAATTAAGGAAAAATCTTTCTTTGTTGTCATTATTCATTATATTTTGTATTTTTCTAATTAATTTTTACAAAGTTAATTTGGTAGCGTCCGTCCACACGTCTTTCAGATTTCTTTTCTTGGGTCAACCAAATGAGAAAACGTATATCTTTACTTAGTTGCACAAGTTATTAAATAATTAATTAAGTTCCAAGGTTAGGTTCAATTCATGATTAAGCGAGGGCCCCAAAAGATTGCAAGTTCTATTTCCATAATTTTCAATAATTAGAACTTTTCAGCTCTCTCTCCCTCTCAGATTCCGTATATAAACTATAGAGGATGCATACTCATGGCAGCCACTACTTGAAACTTTTTATACCCTCCCTATTATTATTCATCTTTGTATAAAAAATAACCCACTTACTTGCCCACCCAACAATTAGGAAAGTATAAAGGTAACTTTTATTCTTGTAAATTTACTATTACAAAAATATCAACGTACCAAACAGAATTTAAAAACATTTATTCTTGTAAATTCACTAAAAGAGAATTGAGGTTCAAGAGTTAAATATTCCACACTTTCCCAATTTTCATTAATATTGTATTTATCCATATTTACAAAAAATATATAATTATTGGAAAAGTATTAAAGGTAGCTTTTCAAGAAACAATTTATGAGAAAAATGAATTACTTTTTTTGTCACTTAATTTTTGGAGACTTTCTGTTTTGGTTCACTTAATTTTTAGAAGTAACATTTTGATCACGAAAATTTATAAGTATTACTATTTTTGTCACTCAACCATTAAAAAAATTAAAAATGAAGAATTTTAAGAGAAAGGAAATAAAAACTTTGGAAAAATTTCTTGCCATTTGGACATGTTCACATAACAAGAGCAGATGATGTGGTCTATTATCTTTTAATAGATGAGTTCAAAATGACAACACCTATTAATGTTGGTAAACCAAAATGTTATTTTTTAAAATTGAGTAATTAAACCCAAAAAAAAATAATTGAAAAGTTCAGTGACCAAAAAGATAATTTAGTTAATAATAAAATTTTTTTGAAGAAGCAAATAACAATAGTACCAACAAAACTAAACGAAATCTAAATAAAAAAAAGAAGAAGCATCTTTATTGAATTCTACTTCCGACAATTTGATCTAGGGTTTACAGTGAATTAGATTATCAAATAATTAACTTGGGTTAATTAAATTGGAAGTGTTTGGTCTTAGCTAATTATTTTAACGAAAGACTAATAGTCAAATGGCAGAAAAATCAAAGTGAGAATTGATTAATCTCACCATTTCAATTGCATGCATATACATAAAATAAAGTACAAGGTAAAAAGAATATGGGGGCACATGGCAACATGAGAGCTCCCAAAGAATAAATGAGAAACCCCAATTAAACAAGAAGAAAAAAATTTCATCAACAAATCTATATGAGAACATCAGAAAACCTTTTCATTTTTAAATTATTTAATTTCCATTAAGCAGCCATTGGAAGCTTAGAAAGATTTAGAAGATCTTCTTGCTCCAAAAACAGGAAACCCTTCTCATGTTTTATCTCATTTGACCCACTAAATCTCTCACTCATACACTAGCAACA